CTTCGTAAATGATAGAAACTGGAATATTTAACAAAACAAAGTTTAAATAATAAGGCAGTTATTTTTTTTCTGGTCCTCCAGTTGAGTTTGACCAGCTGAGCTGAGCATACTTGATTGACTAAGAGCTGCTTGAGAAGGCAAAAGGTATTGTAGACCAACAATATTAAGAGGAAAAACAAAATACTTAGATTTTTCTTACACGCTGCAAAGCATTAAATGAGTAAAGTAGTGAAACATCTAAATGTGAAAAATCTCTCTCAATTTTGAGCAATAAAAAAAGATTTAGGTTGCTTTTATTAAAAAGTATGTGGCAAAATTTAATAAGTTCATTAAAATCTGAGCTTAATGCTGGCCCTCGCAAGCAGATGGATAAAGCTAAGATTGTAGCCAACATTTGTATTAAAAATAAGATGACTCCATCTGCATCAAACATTTCTGCCACTGGCTGGGAAATTTGTATTATTCTTCAATTGCAGCCAATTTGAATCTAATCTACAATTACATTGTTTACATCCCAACTCTTGATCAAATGTTTAAGTTTGTGAATGCTTTCAGTCAAACCAGCAGCCTGACTGTCTGTTGAACCAGATGGAGATGAACGTGGGGATTTCCTCTGACGAAAACGCAGAAATGAGATTGGCTCTGCTGGATGTTTCTCTGATAACACAAAGGACACCTGCTGCGTCTGCTCCTCACCAGATAACCGTATTTCACTCTCCTCATGCTAAGCGGATCGTATGCAGTCAGGCGGTTAACAGGCGAAAACCGATGTTAATTATCTGAGTAAAACTATAGCATGATGTCAAAAACACAGTATTGTATAAAGTTGAAAATGTGCAAAAGTTGCCATAGTGGAGTATGGTGTCAAACAAAGTGCTATAATAATTCATAATATAGTATGATGTTGAAGAAATATACTGTTAGTACGACGTTCTATACTTTGACAAAAATTAGTTAAAGTATAGAACGTCATCAAAAAAGTGCAAAAATGACACGTAGGTTAGTATGACGTAGAAAAAGTGCAAAAATGGCACGTAGTACAATATGATGTCGGAAATTTGAAAAATTAGTCATACTATAGTGTACGGAAAATGCAAAACTGAGTCGTAGTACAGTATAGTACAGTATAGCGTCAAATAAAGTGCATAAATGATACTATAACTATACTATAACTCATTTTTGCATATTCCAAGTTGACAAGTTTTTGCACATTTTTGAGGTCAGTTGAGCTGCAAAGTATTACAGCTCAACTGCTGACTGTTATCGTTCCAGTCTCTGTGTGAAGGTGTTGCAATGTGTGCTGTACTTTTGAGCAAGGCAGATAAACTGATTCAGTAGATTGATAAAGCGTGAACTTGTTTCTGTGTGAAGTTACAGATGTGTTGCTGGTAGAAACATGGAGAAACCAAAATCCTCAGACAGAGCAGAGCTGGAAGAGACAACAGGCCTGGTGGAGGTAATGGTGAAAATCCTTGCATGTCAGGATGAGTTTCTGCTGATTTTGGTGCTAAATTGTCAGCACTTACATGCTTTTTAAATCGCTGTATGTATTTATTTATTTTCTTAAGGATGGTGATTTGCCTCAAGGTGCCGAAGGTGGAAAGGTGGATCCTCGAACACTGAGGAAGAGCAGCTCATCCCGCTCTTCCCATAAGAGTTTGACTGAAGGTAACGACCCTCCTTCTGCTCACCAACGCCCAACATTCAAGTCTCTTCAGAGTTCAAATGTCACGCTGTATCTCAGGTGTGTTTTATTTTTGAATGCAGGAGGAGGTGACAAAGTCTTGTCGTGACAAACATGGTCGCTGGACAAACCCCTGGCCAACATGGCGCTTTCCTTCCTATTCTATGCTGTTCAGATTTCTGCTGCTGGATAAAAATCACAGCAGTGTGGCAACAAGCAAAGAGGTAGGAAACCACTTGGATGTTAAAACCTGCCAGTCACTTTACTTTACTGTAGATAATTCAGAGACTTTTTAAAAAATAACAGTGTTTTATTAGTGGACTAGAGAAAGAAGAACCAAGTCTGCAGTGCTCACATTTATGGAGTCTGCTTATCGCTCTGCTACGGAAGCGCATTGCTATCACGCAGGAAAAAATTTTTACGAGCGCTATCACGTTATAACGTGATACGTATCTTGTTAAAACGTGTTTCAATTCAAATAAAGGTTTCACAAATCACAAACTAGGTTTGAAAAATTCTGCCATTGGCGTAGAATAATCTACTCCAGATCTATGTTCGTTTTTAAAGCAGAACAAATGATTTCTTAACATTTGTATGTTAAATATAATTTCCATGATTAGTTACTTATTTACAGTCATATGTCAAGTCATATGTTAAGTATAATTTACATGATTATTATTCACCGAATTTAACTTGATTGTACACAATTCCAAAAGGTGACTAGAACAATAATTAAAGTCAAAGCTTTATGTATGATTTATTTTGGAGAGAGGAAGTCTTTTATTTTGGAGAGAGGAAGTCTTTTATTTTGAAAAATGCTTAACAGGATCTAGTTTTGTCTTTTGCCATTAACCTAGCCTTCTGTTGATTTCGGTTGCTTGGTTTCGAACAGCCATTGCCGTTGTTCAGCAAGTGTACTGTTAAAAAAAAATCTGAACAGAAAATGTTCATCAAATACATCTGAGCCTCCGTTATAATCTCCCTTTAGCCATTTCCCAAATCAGAAGCCACAATCGGAGGCCAACTTGAGCTTCGATCCAGACAGTCAGGAACGCCGCTACAGCTAAAGGACCGAATTGACGTTTCCTTCTGTGCAGTCCCGTTCTGTTTAGGATCCTGCTTAGAGTACGCAGGCTGTTAATGGTTTTAACCACAGTGCAAAGCAGCATCCGTATCTCTATGTTGTAGACCAAACATGAAAGGAAACCTGACCAATTCATGTTAGCCACTGTACTAGCCTAGCATAATACCGCCACTTCCTGGACATAAAATTATCACGTTTTAACAAGATACGTATCACGTTATAACGTGATAGCGCTCGAATTTTTTTTTTCCTGCGTGATAGCAATGCGCTTCCGTATCAAGATCTTCTG